AGGGTTCACAATGAATAGCTACTGCTGCAGCTCAGTATTTTGTTACTTAAACAGCTTGCATCTTGTTCAGAGCACCTTCAAGAAAACAGGATTCTCTCATTGTTTTTGGATGGGCTCGCTAACTTTGAACGACCTGAGTTTAGGATTGCTCTAATACATTATGATCCTTGATGATAACAAGTCATAGAATCATTAAGGTTGGAAAAGACCACTAAGATCAGCTAGTCCAACTATCAGCTCATCCCCACTGACCACATCCCTCAGTGCCACATCTCCACATTTCTTGAACACCTCCAGGGACGGTGACTCCACCACCCCTCTGGACAACCTGTGCCAATGCCTCACCACTCTGTCTGAGAAGAAATGTTACCTAATATCCAACCTGAACCTCCCCTGGCACAACTTAAGGCCATTCCCTCTTGTCCTATCACTGCTACCTGATAGCAGAGGTCAACACCCAACTCACCACAACCTCCTTTCAGGACATCATAGAGAACTATCACTTCTGCCCTGAACCCAGTTCCCTCAGCTGCTCCCCATAAGATTCGTGCTCCAGACTCCTCACAGCTTTGCTCCTCTTCTCTGGACATGCTCATCTTTGATGAGCTGATGTAGTTGTCAAACAAGGTTAGTGAAGAACATAATAAGTGTATTGTAAAGTCTGCTTGCTTTCTGCCTTTGTCAGTAAACTGCATTTGTCAGTGGTGCAAAAACCGAAGGTCATTCTGCAGTTATTGGCAGCAAGAGAGAAGTAGCAGCTCTGTATTGATGTGCAAGCAACAAAAGTGGATACAGGAATTGTTAATGCCTACAAATCTGATTGTCTGAAGTAGGGGCTGAGAATGTCACTGCACTGGAGGGCAGGATTCCAACTTTGTACCAATGGGCTCTGGTGCTCCTTTAGTGCATGTTTCATGTGCCAGGATGTCTCTTGTTGGCTGTTTAAGACTGCTTTAGTCTTAGCTAATTGTTATTCAGTCTGTGGGCTCGGTTGAACAAATTCTGGCACATGCTGCTGTGGCAGATGAAGAGGTGACTGTCCCCATTTGCCATGCTGCCTCTTGCCATAGGTGCCATCCCTTAGCGGTGTGCACTGAGGAGAACTGCACCTCTGTGGGCTCCTGCCTGTGGTCGTTGCCCACATCCATCTTCACAGAGATGTTTGAAGTGAGCTGGAGGTCATTCGGCTCAGCACTGCCAGCCAAAACTCAGCCAAGCACATTGGTTTGTGGGCTGGGACTGAGTTACAGGATGACAACAAGAGAATACTTAACAATTAGCTTTAGCTAGGGAATACTCCTGGTTTTTTTTGAGTAGAAGAGAAGCATAATTTTGCTCACTTTATAAAAGTTACAGGACCATTTATTAAGCCACAGATGTGTGCCACAGCAGCTAAATTAATCTTTGATTTGATGTTGCCAAGATACTCTTCAAATGTAAAGAATCTTTTCTGAAGCGGTCTGGACCAAGGGTGGCAGCACAGAAGCCAGTGGCCCAGGTTGTGTTGTCTTCCACATTTCCTTAAGTGTGACCTTAATGTGCTGTTACAAGGTAAAGAACGGGTTTGTATGAACTGATCCTCTTGATCCCTGCAATATTGATATTTAGCAGACATGATCCTTTCTGCAAGCAGACATCCAGACCTGATGGTGAAGAACTTGAGCCTGTGCTGGACGTGTTCTAGTCTCTAATGTAGCTGAGATAATGCTTCAAGTTGGCCTTGAGTCCTGGAACCTCCCTTGGTATGGCGTCCATTGGGACAACTCCTTCCCCTCCCACATCTTCTATATGTGTTCAACTCGTAAGTGATCTGGATGTTCTTTTCTTCGAACACTTAAATCATAGAATATCTCACGGATCACTGAGTCCAACTCCTGGCTCCACACAGAACCATTCCAATCCCAAACCCAATGTCTGAGAGCAGTGTCTCAATGCTCCCTGAGCTCCAGCAGCTCAGGGCCGTGCCCACTGCCCTGGGCAGGCTGTTCCATGCCCACCACCCTCTGGTGCAGATCCTTTCCCTCTGGTTATACAAACAGCCTGGATGACTGTGAGTTGAGCAGGGCAAATCTTGCTTGAATATTACCAGTCGGTGTTGGAAGAGTGTGGTCAAATCTCCCTTCTTTCAGATCCAGTTCCCTGTCATTGGTTCATCAGCTAAATTCATTAGCTCTGGAGTAAACATCGCTTTTGTTCTCAATGTATAAAAAGCAAAGGTAGGCAAAATTTGGTGTCAATTATGAATAAAAGTGAAATTCCATCCTCCTGCCACCATTTCTCATCAGCAGGTAACTAACATGGAATCTTTTTTAGCATAGTAACGCTTCACAGTACAACTAGGCTTTAAGGATTAGCCATAATTGCTTCTGTGCACTCAAATAATTGAATATAAATCAATTACCACCATTTTAGGTATTTTAACAGCCAAGCCTGCTCTACAAAGAAAAACCTTTCTTTCTTGTCTAATAGCCAGACCTTCAGCTTCTTTGTTTATCCTCCTATCTGGGACAAGTGATTCAAAGTCAGTCATTAATTAGTGATTTTATCAAGATTTTCCTCTCAGGACTGAAAGGTCAGCACACCCTTTAAGTGCTAGCAAAGCAAATGTCTCTGATTTACACATGAAGTCAAGGCTTGTGAGGAAGAAGCCTCATAAAATGACTGTAAGAACAGAGATTTAATTTGGGGCGACAGCTTAGGAACATGCCAAGCACCAACGTGATGGCTACGGAGCTTGAATTTCATCTTAAAATACTTCAGTCCACATTTCTTTAAAGGTTAGATTAGCCCCATGGGCATGGAGCCAGCTGACAAACACCAGGCACGAGGTCTGAAGTAAAAGGAGCACCAAAGGAGCATGGCTCTGACCTTGATGTAATTTATTTGTGCTGCATTGTTCAGGGACCCTTTGCTTGGCTGAGTGGTGGGCTGGCTCCTGGGTGCTGGGGAGCAGCTGCTGCTGGCTGTGAGCTGCGTGCTGGCTTGGCTGATGGATGGCCACTGTACTGGAAGGAAGAGTATGTCATCTTATGGGGCAAACTACTTGACTAATCCAGGCCAGTGGATGCAATGTTGTTAAGCAGGAGTGAGGGAACAAAGGGAACTGAAGGGTTTTTCCTGGCAGCGGTCCTTTGGATAGCAATCAATTGCTAGGCTTAGCATCACGTTAGGATGCTGCAGCAATCCTTGAAATAGTTATCAGCATTGCCACCTTGCTGTGTTTGTGCCATTTTTATCACTGGTTTCAAGTCTGCGCATTATTTTTCAAAGAAAGAGAAAAGGAAGAACTGAGGGATAGAGGATTTGTTCTATTGCTGTTAGAAAAAGGGGGAACAGAGAAATCCGAAGTGATCTGCTACAAATATCCTTGCTTTAAAGTAGAGCACAGAACACAAACAGCCAGCAGCTTCAAGTCCCATGGTATTCAGCTTGTGTTTTTCTCTGACTGATCGGATCTGCTGTACCAATTAATGCATCCCATGGAGCAGCCACACAGCAAGTTCAGATTTTGAAGGAGAGTCACTCTACAGCAGTTTTTTCTTATCCAGGAAGGAGAACTCAATGCCACCGCTTAAATCCGAGACAGAACGTGATGTACTGCTGCCAGTCCATCTCAACGAGAAAAACACTGCTGTTAGAAGTCCTCTACAGCCCTCCAGTGGTTCCCTGTGAGCCCTGCACACCCAGCGATCCACTGCAAGTGGTCAAACCACAGCTATTCACTTTTCTTATTTGCAGTACTCATTTGGCCCCATTTTCCACCTGTTACCGTGCCACCACATAGTAAAACTGGTTTGTAGCAAACATGCACAAATACTTTTATGAAAAGAGACCGTGTCATACAGAGATGCAAAGATGAGAGGGGACTCTATAGCAACACCCCCCTGTTTCTAAGAAGATGCTTAATGACTGAGCCAGATGTGCCACGGTGCACAGTGGATGGACAACAGAGGACAGGCACAGAGGAGGTTCAGATCTGCTGTCAGGAAAGCTTTTCTGCCCTGAGGACAGGCCAGAACTGTGACTGAGTGCCTACAGAGAGCATGGGGTCTCTGTCCTTAGAGGTTTTGAGGAGCTGATGGACACAGCCCTGAGCTCTGCCTTGGTGTAACCCACTCTGGTCTCAGAACTGATGTTGCTCTGAGCCCCGCTCTTCTCAGACCAGAAGAGGTGACTCTATTGCAGCTGCAGAGAACCACAAAACATCCGTGGCTGCCTGCTGTGAGCTTCTGCAGCATTTCAGACCTGCCTGTGCACTGGCTGGAGGGGCAGGAGAGCAATGGGAATGTATGGCAATGGCAGCTGATGGGACACATGTCAGGAGCTTTGATGGTGTGCCTTCCCCCACCTTATGCCCCCAACTCCCTCCTGTGGCCTGGCCTTGCACACCATGCACCAAGACACAGCAACAGTACTGATAATGCTCTCACAAAGACAGATCACAGCCACAAATCTGCCTCAGACTGGGGAGCTGAAAGAACTCAGCAGACACCTGTTTCAACAGCTGGGAACCAACTGAGCACTCACCTAAAAACCAAGTATGACTATGAGTCAGTTACCTTATCCTATAAACAATGAGCAGCCCAGGAGGCCCCTGAGCTGGCAGTGAGTTGCATGATAGCATTTCCCCATGAGCAGGGATGCCTCTTGAGGTTGCACCTGTGCAGAGATGCTTAAACCTTAATGCCATGATGCCTTGCTGATACAGATCCTCAATGAGTGACTAATTCACAGAGATCACATCTTAGACTGATTGTAAATCTTGTTAGCTTTGCTAAGATCACATCTTAGATTGACTATGCACATGCAATCCCTTAGGCCGTCACAGCAGGTCCAGAATCACAGAATTGTTGGGGTTGGAAGGGACCTCCAGAGATCATCGAGTCCAGAGGGCTGGAGAACCTCTCCTGTGAGAAAAGATTGATGGAGCTGGGCTTCTTCAGCCTGGAGAAGGGAAGACCAGGTTGGATGGGTCCTGGCCAACCTGATCTGGTGGGTGGCAACCAGCCCACAGCACGGGGATGGAGCTTTAAGGTTCCTTCCAACCCAAACCACTCCTATGGTTCTTTGATTCTCTGACAGGATGGGGCCTGGCAGGGCACAGGGAAACAGTGCCTTCTGCCAGCAGGAGACAAAATTGGGTCTGCCTATGCTGGTAGTTATGGACTTCTGCTGGACCAAGAAGGGTTTTCTTTTCCATGATCACCCCTCTGCTCGTGGCTCTGGCAGTCAGGCATGTGGCCTCTGGGGACAGGTCTCTGGCCCCAGGGCTCAGACACTTGCTAAGAATTTGGGCAGCTGTAATGTCCAAATGAGGTGGGATAGCAGGAGGCTCCTTGAGGGGATGGCTTAGGCCTGGAGTTTGGACAGAATCCTTACTGTTCCCAGGGCACCTGAGCCCGCAGATTGCTTCGGGCAGTGGTTGAAGAGGCTTCAGAGAATCATTTTTTCAGATTAGGCAGGGATTTACCAGGTGAAGGTGCTCACTGAGCAGCTTCTGCTGCTTCTAAGGATGGGTTAATGCTAAGGCCAGCAAGCTCTACCAGTGGGAAGTTTTCTGCCTGGGCAGCCCAACAACTTGTTGCCTTTGCTGGCAAGAGAATCCCATCCTGGCCATGCTCTCACCCAGGGCTGCCCTCTTGCAGAGGCCAAGGACCATGGATTCAGCCACAACTGGCAGAAAAATACCTTCTCACAGAGTATTTCTGGCTGTGTCATCTTTCCCAAGGACACAGGTTTGGTGCTGCAGCCCCTGGCTGCCTGGCTGGCACTTGGAGGAGCTGGAGGGGAAGGGTCCCTCAGACACTCTGGGTACAGTATGGAGAAGATGGGAGCAGCAGGGATAGAGGAAGGCAATGAGAGAACAAGGAACACACAAGAGCTGGCTCCTGGCTGTGCCTGTACACACAGCTGTTGCTGTACCTATAGAATTGCCTTATCAACCTGCAACTTTTCTCACTGTTACCCATCTGATTCTCTCACCCACTCCACTGCAAGGGAGTAGGTGAGCAGTTGTGTGGATCATCTGCTGGGGTTGACTGACCACAGATGGTGACATCGTTCCTGGCTGACCAAAGTTCTGGAAGATACAGCAGTGCTCTATGAGATCCTTCTTCTTGATAAGAAGTCATCGAGCATCTCTTGTTTAGGAAATGAGCCACATGACTACAGATTTACAAATCTGGAGAGAGAACACCAATATTCATGGTGTCTGTGGGGCTTTAAATGATGGCAAAAGCTGCAGTGCAGACTGGGATGGACTGGAAGCATAGCCTCTGTCTCTCCTCAGGTTACTGACTTCCCAGTGTGGACTCTATTTTGCCCCCTCTTGATATGCTCCCACAAAGAAAAAGCAGTGGCAAATAATAATTAAAAAAAAAAAAAAAGTACTTTGATTCAATTATTTTTATAATTCCGCAAGCCTAATATTCATTTATATCATCAATGATCTGGACCATGGGAACTGATGGAAAAAATGAGGAAGCAGTTCTCACAACAACTTATACATCTTGTGTCTGCATGGCTGCAGCAGGCCACATGTAATCATCCATAACGAAGGAATCGTAATCAGGACTATAAACAAGCTGTTTCACAAAGGCTTCTTTGTCTGCTGGCTCAGGGTACCAAGAAGCAAGACCATGCTTGTAGGCCCAGTTAACAATCTGCAAAAAGACAAGCAACGTGAGCTGATGAAATAACACTGACACATTATGAAGATGAAATAACACTGACACATTATCATCCAACTTTATTTTTTTTCCCCCTTCAAAATCATATCCCGTTTTGCTTATTATTTTTCTGACCCCCAAGCTGGCTGTACTTCATCCCTTGGGAATGCAAGCTGCTTGCAGCTCCTGTGTTGTGCAATTGAGGAAGGTGAGCAACTCTTTAACCACCTCCACTTGTACTCTTAAGCTCCCAAGTTATAATATGCATATTATAACTCTTAGCAACTCTCTTAGTAACTCTTAGCAGGCCAAGGTGATTCTCAGTGGGTGTCCCCTGAATGAGAGTTATAAATTTGATGTACACAGAGCATAAATCCCATCATTAGATAACAAGCCTAGATCTGAAATAATATTTAGGTGCTTAGGTCTCTATCAGATTCAAAAGGAGTTGACAGAATCTTCAGGCAATTTGCTTCATGTTTGATGTCAATCCTAAACCTGATTTTTCAAGTGCTGAGAAGTCTCACAGCTCCAAGCAAAGAAGGAGATATTTGAGAGCTGTGAGGCATCCAGAATCAAGAGTTAATTTTCAAATGTGGGCTTTAATGAAAGAAGAGATCAAAGCAGTAATTCTGTCTGGAAGAATTCCCGAGAAACATTACTTTAGGTTACACAATAAGATGGATTTAAGAAACACAAAACAAGAACAATGCCAGGGCTGGTCCTGCCCTCCTTATCATAGTGAAAATAAACGAGCACTTACTTTGACAGCGATTTTGAAAGATACCTCTCTGATGCTGTTCAAGGGGGGATAGAGTCTTCCCTCTGCAAGATTCTGCTCTGTCACCTCAGCAGCAATAGACTAGAAACAAGAGGAAGGCAGTTTATAGAGATGGTCTCAAGCATGTGCCACTTTTGCTAGGATTGTACAATATGTGGTTGAAACCTAAGCAGCAAAGGAGCTGGGGTTAGTTCTTAACACAACCTGCAAAACTATTCAAAATATGTGTTTATGCACTTCGGTGTAGACTTAAAACTGGAGCTCAGGATGGTGGAAATGCTGTGCCTGGGCAGGTAATAAACAGAATCACAGAATGATTGAGATCAGAAAAGGGGTCTGTGGAGGACATCTGCTCCAACCTCTGCTCCAGCAGGGATACCCAGGGCAGACTGGCCAGGACTGTGTCCCAGTGGCTTTTGGAGATCTTCAAAGAGGAGATTCCCTGGGTAAAGCTCCTAAAAAGGGGAGCAGCTGTGGGGATGGCGTGTGGATGATGGAATGAGGGAAACCTTATTGTCACTCCTGTAGATGCAAGACACAAGGAAGCATGAACTTTTTTTGAAACCAGGAACAACCATGGTTTTTCTGATGCTGTGCAATTTCCCCAAGCCAATTTCTTGAATTGCCTCAAGTAGGTGCATGTGCCCCCTATAGCTTTTTTAAAAAGTGATCATTAGCCCGTTGGAAACCTGTGCTGTGATGAGGAAGATGTCATCAGAGATGTGCCGGACTCCACAGGCTATGACTCCCAGCGCCACTCCTGGGAAGACGTAGGCGTTGTTTCCTTGGCCAGGGAAGAAGGTCTGACCATTAGGCAGGGTAACCTTTGAGAATGGACTCCCACTGGCAAATATACCCCGGCCCTGAACAAACAGAGAGAGAGAGGCATGAAAATTCAGAAGAGCCATTTTATATTTCTGCTGCTCTTCATGGTGTATATCAGGTAGATAAATCTCTAGGAAAACCATCCCCTGCCGTTGATACTTAGGAAGGTTTGGTCCCCAGAGCCACACATAAAGTCATGAACAAGGCCACTGAGCACTGAGCACTGCCCAACTGCAAGTGCTCTGCAGTTGCTGAGAAAGCATCTTTGTTCCTATTGCTATCAACCATCTATGGAGTAAAGGGACTTATGTATGGGGTGAAGATCTGCGGGCTGTGTAACTACTCCAGCCAGCAGCACTGAGACAAAGAAGCAGCACGTGGCAGTGGGGGCATAAGGGAGAATGAGACGAGGCCTTCTCTCTCACCCAAAATCAATTCTTGTGACAGTTCTTCAGTGCTACTGAGCATGAGTTGGCTGAACGAGCTGTTATACAAACAGATAAGGTGGCAAAGTGCAGGGGACAGTAGTCTGGGGGACGAGGGCATCTCAGACAGCTCACAATGTATAGGCTCACAGTGTAATTCAGGCTGGTAGGGACACTAAGGATATCTATAGTCCAAACTCATGGCAGGGTCAGCTGTGAGGTTGGAATAGTTCTCAGGGCTTTATCCAGTCTGGACTTGAAAATCTGCAAAGACAAAGACTACACGAGTTCTCTGCCCTCTGCTCCTCCTCCTCACAGTGTGAACATTTTTCTTTATGACCAGCTTGAACTCTCTTTGTTCCCCTTATACCTTCTGCCACTTGTCCTCCCACCATGCCCCCTATGGTCTCCTTGCTACGGCCATATCAGCAGCATGCCTGGAGCAACCCATCCTCCCTGTGCTGAGACCTGGTACCTCAGTGAGGTGATAGCACTGCTCTGCTGTGCACTCTGCTTTACTCGTGGGGTTGCTCAGGGCAAACACGATGGGCCTCTCGTTGAAAGCTGCCATGTCCTTCAAAATCTTCTCAGTGAAAGCTCCTGCAATGGCTGCGACACCTAAAACAACAGCAGCAGAGTGAGCTGGTGCTTTCTGACATCAGAGCATTGGACTGATCCCTCTTGAATGCCTCTTGTCACTAAATGAACCATGGGAGAGAGCCAGGATCCATTTCTAGAGATGCAGGTGCAAATGTTTCTTTGTTATGTTCTCAAGAAATTAAAAACCTGTCTCAAACTGAAGCCCCTTTGCTCCTCCAGGTAGGGAGGTGGGGTCAGTGCTTGGGCTCAGTGCTTTGCCTCACAAAGTCCTCCCTGAGCTGCCTGCTGTCCTCGTCCTGCCCTGCTTGCCTGGGCCCCAGATTCTGATGCAGTGGCACTTCCATTTGCAGCCCATCTGGGAGGGCTCCATCCTTGGCTGAAGGGAATGATGTAGAGAATTCAATAATGGGCAAAAGAAACTCATTGCATTTTGACTCTGAGAACAAAAGGAGGCTCTGGAAGAAAGACAGGAACTCTCCTAAAAATTGAATGGACACGAAAAGGTTGTGTTAAGGGAACTCCACCTATAATTGCTGTCGGCTTCACTTTCTGCACAACCTCTTCTAGTGTGTTCACACTGGGATGGTCCTGGGCAAACATTTCTTTCTCATGGTTCAGGTGGCTCCTGCCCTGCGAGAGAAAAAAGGAATTGAACTTTAGGGCACTGGCAATAGGTAGAAAGATAATGGAGTAACTCACCAGTTCATTTCACCTTCCTGCCCTTCTAAGCATGGATGGGGGCAGGTGCCCCAAGGACATGGGTTAGTGGGTATGGTAGTGATGGGTTGATGGTTGGACAATATGATGTGAGTGGTCTTTTCCAACCTTAATGATTCTATGAGGAGCCAGGGAGGGCAGAGCAGGGCTGGTCCAGGCTGGATCACCAAGCTGTTGTGATGTCCCATATAAGTGACATGCACAACTTCCAGTGTTACTTGTGATCAATGCTACTGAGACATCATCTTACAACTTCAGGGGTCCATACCAAAGTGCTGCCTTTGGGACAGCCAGTCTTGTGCTGTTACCAGCTCTCTTAGCAGGAGTAGCTCTGCTGACACCAGTGAAAGCACAGCTTTTGTGCCAGGGCTGAGCAGGATTCAAGGCGTCTGCCTGCTCTGGCCTCTCTTTAGCTTGTAGGAGGTGCTGAGGAAGTGGAGAATAGCTTTGGAGATGAATTTACCTTGACTATCAGTCCCTTGGAGTCCACCATCCATATTTTTTTGATGGCATCTGCTCGTGAAATTCCTTCCTTTTCCATGGCCATGAGGATGAGGTGAGCTATGCCCATTGCAGCCTGGAATACAGTAAATAATCATTTCATTGGGGTATCAGCATCTTATGGGGGAAGATTTTAAATAAAAGATGTGTTGGGTCATCCCCCAGCACTGCTTAGAGCAGGGAGAATTTCTGCTCTGTGTACAGTGGCACGTATTGCCCACGGGCCTGCAGGTGGGAAACAAGCCAGGACCTGAACCAAGTGCACAGTCCAAGCTTTAGGTTTTTCTTCCTCCTCTCTCTTTGTGCAAAGCACCAGACAGACACTCTGACTTATGCCCTGGAGGCAATGCAACTGACTGCATAAATTGAGGTCATGTTCTCATAGTTCTTTAAGTCTAACTCCTTTTGACTATGTCATTCAAGAGGGTCTGGTTTACCTTAAATACAAACCCTGAGAGATCAAGCCAGCCTCATGTTGCCTCATAAGGGATTTCCTTTGGGGTACTTGAAGTCCTATTGACACATGGGCAGCCTTGGAGCATCCATGCCACTTGAATGCTGACAACTTCTGTGCAGCAGCAAAGTCCACCTGTGGGCCCACTTCTGACCAGTGACAAAAATCCTGCTTTTGTGCTTTGTCTTTGGGAAGCCAAACCTTGTAGGATGTTCCCTGGTTGACTTTATTTCTCACTTAATTTTAATTTAGATGGTATTTAGGAACAAACTCAGGAACATACTAACCTCTCCAGCTCCCTGGAAGACAAACTTGTGGTCAGAGAGCTTGTTCTTTGTGATCCTTAAAGCTGCAAAGAGGCCAGCGACTGCAACAGAAGCAGTGCCTGAAAAGAGAAAACACTGTGAGGGTCATCTTGACAAAGGGATTCCCCATCCTACTGATAGAATCATAGAATGGCTTGAGTTGGAAGGGACCTCAAGGATCATCAAGCTCCAACATCAATCAGGCAGGGCCACCAACCTCCACATTTAATACCAGTCCAGGCTGCCCAGGGCCCCATCCAGCCTGGCTTTGAACACCTCCAAGATGATACTGTTAGCTGTTAGAAACCTTGTGGAAGGAACTGTGCTCTTAAATCTTTGGGTGTTTGGCATTATTTTCTATCTGAGACTCAGCATCTCTTTGACTCTGGGAAACCAGTATTCTCCTGCCTTGCAGATGTCTTCTGAGAATTAGTATTTCCAAGTAGTGTTCACGTGTCTAATGTCCTATCCCAGGTGAAGGCACAACAAGAATTCAAGTAAGGCACAAACTAGTGAGACTTCAGGCACTGCTGGTGCCTTTTAGGCTACGAAACCTGCTTTCACCAGTCTTCCAGCGTTTCCTTTCCTATTATCCTGGCCATTTAATCAGGTTTTTAACCAGCCAGCAGCCTGGGAGCAAAAGGAGAGCAGCTCAGGAGCAAAGCAAGACCGTGAGCAGTGAAACCAGCAGATGGTGCTGCTGCATCTGTTGAGATTCGAGAAAACGAGCTCTACCTGCTCCTTTTCTTTAGTGCCACAGCTGCAGCAGCAAACCTACTGCTATGTCAGGCAGTGGGGAATGCTATTCTCTCTCATTATCTCCATGTAAACACAAAACCTAGTGGGAGCACAGTTATTCTGGAGGAGGAGTAATTTCTATGGACACGAGTAACTTTGCATTAAGCTGCGCAGAAAATCTAGAAGTTTTTGTCGGTACCATCATCTCACCAAAGTTTTGCTTTTATAGCTCAGATGAGTTCAGTTCTCCAAAAAGGAGCATCGCTGCTACCTAACAGTGACTCTGCTTTAGCAGAGGTGGCAGTGGCCACATCCTTGTAGCAAACGATGGCACCATGGTGCCACACACAGGCACCCAGGTGCAGAATGGCAGCAGCATTGTATCTCATTTGTGAGGGCATTGCGAGCATCCATGCCTCAGACATACAATGGACTAATCTGGTGGTTTAATGTTACAGATTGTGGTTTCTTAAACCTCTTTCACTGAAACTTGCTTCAGCACTAAGGATGAGGTCCTTTCATTAGCTCAGAAAACAGTTTGTTTCCAGGCTTAGACCAGCTGGGTCCACTTAAAAAAAAAGGAGATGATGGGGAGGGAAGCTGTCACAGAGTGTTCTGCTGCTTCAGTATTAACGATTGCCAACTCAGACAACTGAAGGATGTACACGAGGAATTTCCTCTTGCTTTCCCTGCCTCATTAAGCCATATGTACAGTGACATATCCGCCTGGCAAAATGCCGTGCCATCTGAGTAGAAAGATTGCAGGAGAAAACAGTGAGCAGCCAAGGAATTGATAGGAACAACAGATAATGGCATAGTTCTTAGATTTTGCTTTTTTTCTGGGTGTCTCCATGCTCATTCTCCAGATTTTGGAGGGTCTGCCATCAGCAGAAATGCTCAGCTTCTGCCGTGCCACTGCTAGGGGTGGGGCTCCTTGGAGAAACAGGGTTGTACCCATGCTAAAGCAGACCTGAAGTCTGATGAAGTCTCAGAATCATTTGGGTTGGAAGGGACCCTTAAAGGTCATATAGTCCAACCCCCTGCAATGAACAGGGACACCTACAGCTCCATCAGGTGCTCAGAGCCCCATCCAGCCTGACCTTGGCTGTCTCCAAGGATGGGGCATCCACCACCTCTTTGGGCAACCTGTGCCAATGCTTCACTAAGTGCATCCCAGCAGTGTCTGCGTCCCCACTGTTTTCAGAGACAAGATAACCCACTCTGGCAGGCTGAACAGCAAAGAAGAGGGGAGACATCAGGGTCCTACAGTTCTTAGCAATATCAAGCTTGAGATATCTATGAGGATGTGAACACCTATGCACACACTCATGCATGCTCATACACTATGTCCTGGGCTCACTTTGAACAGAAATCCCCAAATTGCTGTGTGGGTGATCAGAGGAAAAAGTCCAAGAGTGGAACAATCAGAATGCAGCAATGTGTCAGGTCAAAGCATGAACAGCAACAGATGCCTGGAAAGCATTTAAAAGAAAGAAGCATAACTGGAGAAATATTTTGTTTCTCTTGGTTCTGAAACAGGGAAAATTGCTTTCTAATCTGTGATTGCTGAGAAGGGACTTATGGTATTGGCAAAACCATTTAAACAGCAGGAAAATGTTGGTGGAACTTTCAGGAAAGGTGCTCTGTGTCAAACAATCACAGAATGCTTTGGGTTGGAAGGGATCTTTAAGATCATGTAGTTCCAACTCCCTGCTATAGGCAGGGACACCCCCCTCTAGACCAGGATGCTCACAGCTCCATCCAGCCTGGCCTTGAATGCTTCCAGGGAGGAGGCATCCACAACTCACTGGGCAACCTGTTCCAGTGCCTCACCACCCTCACAGTAAAGTGTCCTTGTAAAGGTGCTACATGCAGGGATTTGAGAAGCAAAGACACTGCTTCAGCTGTGTGCTTTGCACAGCAGAACCTGGTGGGACAGGGTGTGCCTTTGCTTGTCCCCTATGCATACACTGCAGAGAGACCAACAGCAGGGCTCTCCTCAGCTCTGCTCTTCCTAATCCTCCCTCTCTCTCCCCACATTGTGCTTCCAGTCCTTCCACATCTTCCAAACTGCATCTCAGTCCCATTACTCAAGTAACAAAGTACCTTGGCCTCAGCTCAATATTTGTCTTTGATAATTACCATTTCTGAGTATGTAACAATAGAAGCATCTCTATGCAGGAGAGTGCACAGCTGGTTTGCATAAGGAGTTGGCTAATCATAGAATCACTGAATCATTAAGGTTGGAAAAGACCTCTAAGATCATGTAGTCCAACTATCAGCCCATCCCCACTGTGCCCACATCTCCACATATCTTAAACCTCTCCAGGAGCTCCACCACCTCCCCAGGCAGCCTGTGCCAATGCCTTACCACTCTTTCTGAGAAGAAATGTTTCCTAATATCCAAGCAATCACAGTGCTTCAATTCCAAATAGACCACAAAGCGAGATGTGGAAAAAAACCCCTCCATCACTACAAGTTGTGGCAAGAGAAAACCAAGTACCCTTCAACACATCAGTCGATCTGTTTTCCAAAAAAATTGAATGCTGCTATTGCAGAAAACTGCTTCCTCATGTAATTAGCAAGAGCCAGTTTGGCTGGTCTGTATGTGATGTGAGATAGAGAAGGGCACACAGAGGAAAATGCTCACAAAGCATCCCGTCTGTGTGAGGCTCAGTGGGTGATCTGCACTGTATCACAGGCTAGCAAGCAGACCTCAGGAATCTTTCTGGGGACTCCAGACAAACAGGGCCAGCAAAGGAAAGAGCATCTGAAACTGTAGTGCATTCAGGAAAATGGCTTTCACAGTGGGAATTTATCTCTGACACTCAGGCATGCTGAGAATATTGTAAACATTAAAGAGCCCCTCTGCTGAGGCTGATTTTCTGCTTATTCTAGTGTAAGGCAGAACTAGCCCTATAGATGTCAGTGGAGCTGCACTGGAGCAAATTGGAGGGAAAGGATTTGCTCTGCAGCTTAGCAGAGATGGAAAAGGCAGAAGCACCTGGTGATGTTATCCTGCCTCCAGAGCAGGGGCAGCATACTGAAGTGGCACAGGTGCAATGAGAAAAGTGCTGCCAAGTGCTGATGCCAAGGCATCAGGGTTGAACCCAGGCATTCTAACAGAAGAAGTGATCATAGAATCATTACGGTTGGAAAAGACCACTAAGGTAATGTAATAGATTCTATGTAGTCAACTATCAACCCATCACCATAGCACTAAAGCATATCCCTAAGTGATAGCAGCAAGCAGCAGCCACACCGCTGCCCATTTCTCCTTCTGGCAACTGTGTGGATGGCATTACAGTGATGGAAAGGATGGCCAAATTCAGTCCCATCTTCCCATTTATACTCTTGCTCTGCCTGCTTATGTTTCTGCCATTAAAACCATGCCAAATGTTAGGGCCCAGGCAACAGCAAACACCCATTCAACAGCTCTGGTGAAGGGCAGCCAAGAAAATACATTTAAATTTATGGATGCAGAGGAAGCACAGAGCTTTTCCAAATCCTGGTTCACATGAACATTCAGCTTGTTTTTGGAAGGCAGAGCAGAGATTGTCCAGATGCACTCCAAATGCATAATAAAAAGTCAAAGACAACAAAGCTGAAGCAAAAAGCTGTTGAAGCATTTGCAGCTCAATGCTTCGCCCTCATGTCTGCTGGCTATTGTTATCCTTCTCTCACAGGGTCTCTGTAAGACATTAAGGAAATAAACCTAGAAATGGCATGGAGCAAGTCGTTGAGAACAGCAGGGAAATGCAAAGCATCAGCGCTCAGGGAAATAATTCACATCCTCCATGAACAGATCTAGGATACTGTTGATCCACATCTCTGGAGGGGGTGGTAAGGGTGAAAAGTCATAATCCCCAAAATAATGTAACATAAGGGCCAGATCTTTAGGGCCCTGCACTACAAAGCCCAAGGCACTGAAGTCCATTCCTACCCAGGAGTTTGGACTGTTCTGATCTGGCTTGTTTTGCAGAAAATGAGTGATTTGGGATGAGAGATAATGGCCTTAAGATGAAAGGTCAGGGCCTTAAGTTGCGCCAGGAGAGGTTTGGGTTGGATAGTAGGAAACTTTTCTTCTGAGAAAGAGTGGTGAGGCACTGAAACAGGCTGTCCAGGGAGGTGGTGGAGTCACCAACTGTGGAGGTATTTGTGAACTGTGGAGATGTGGCACTGAGGGATGTGGTTAGTGGGCATGGTGGTGATGAGCTGATGGTTGTATGAGATTATCTAAGTGGTCTTTTCCAACCTTTGTGATTCTATGATTCTATGGTTTTGTTATTCAGACACAAGTCTTGGAGCTGGCACTTGAATAGTTAATGTAGTAGCAGCAAGAGAAGATACAGGAGCCTCTTCTGCTGCAGAGCACAGCAGGTCCAAAAGGCCTTTGGCAATGGTGAGCCCCCAGAGGACTGAGAACATCTTCATGTCTATCTTCAGCCTGGGTGAACCCCATAGGGGGAGCGTGCTGCTCTGGAGCTGCCTGGCAGGACACAGCCTGCTTTGTTCTGCATCAAAACTTCATCCAATGCTCCCTTCCTATTGTGCTCCCCCCCTCCATAGTTTCCTGTGATAATTACTGATGCATTTTCCATGCCAGCTGAAACAACAAAGTAAGATACTGCGACATTTTAATCTGCTGAAATTTGTCACTGCCTTGCCAAAAACTAGCCCTGCTTCTCAAAACACAAGGAAATGGGCTCAAATCTTTGAAGTTGCTCAGATTTGCAGTGCTGGAGTCGGCCTGTTCTCAACCTCAGCTACGGTAGTGAGCAATGTTCCTCCAGGCTGAGGCACTGCTGCCTGAAGGCTCCTGGAAGGCTGATGCTATGGGGTGCTTAGTGGGTTAAGAGATATTTGGAGTCATACATTCAAAACCAGATTAGGTGGGCAACCTGATCCAGTGCCTGATCTGGTGGTTGGCAGCCCTGCCTGCAGCAGAAGGGTTGGAAGTGGATGATCTTTGAGGTCCCTTCCAACCCAAGTCATTCCGTTATTCTGTGTTCCAACAACAAAGGGGAACCATTGCTCCTACAAATGGGAAAAGATTGAGAAGTTCTCTGGGAAGAAGTCACTGCTGTGCACAGCTTATAGATCCCTCTAGTTGTGGAGGGACATTAAGGTTGGAAAAGACCTCTAAAATCATCTGGTCCAACCATCAACCCATGCACACCATGCCCGCTCACTATGTCCCTCAGTGCCACATCTCCACGGTTCTTGAACACCTCCAGGGATGGTGACTCCACCACCTGGGCAGCCCGTGCCAATGCCTCACCACTCTGAAAAGAAACTTTTTCTAAAATCTAACCTGAACCTTCCCTGACAGAGTTTATGCTTGCTTGCACTACTCAATCAGCCCTGTCCAGAGGAGGGCCATCAACGTGACCATGTTTTATTAAGATGGAAGAGAGTAAAAGAGGGCATCTGATTTCTGTCTAAATTGACCTCCTGGGAGGATGTAGAGAAGGTGGGGTCAGATTCTTCTCAGAAATGCACAGCAAGAGGATGAGGAGCAATGAACACAGTTTGCACCCAGGGAAACTACAGTTAGATTTTAGGGGAAAAATGCACAATGAAGATACATAAACTTTGGAATAGGTAGCTCAAAAAGAATGGAGTGGAATGGAATGGAATAGAACAGACCAGACCAGACCAGAATAGAAAATAGAACAGAATAGAACAGAATAGAACAGAGTAGAGTATAGTAGAGCAGAGCAGAGCAGAATAGAATAGAATAGAATAGAATAGAATAGAATAGAATAGAATAGAATAGAATAGAGTAGAGTAGAGTAGAGTAGAGTAGAGTAGAGTAGAGTAGAGTAGAATAGAATAGTTCAGGAATCTCAAATCTCCATCCATGGAGATACTGGAACTCATCAGACTGGGTGAACCTGACCTAAAGTCAAAGTTGGATCTAACTTTGAGGGGTTGGACTGGATGATGTCAAGAAGTGCAATCCAAATTGAACTGTTAACTGGTTTTATTAACTTCTTGTATGAAGCAGGAAAGCAGAGGATGCCTCAGGGGTACACAGGGCTTGGCACTTCTGTAGCAGTTTTCAGTTGCCTACCTTCTGTTTAGAGCTGGCACAGTTTAGCAGAGCAAAGTTACAAAAGGAGCACAAAGAGGAGGATTCAAGGCAGTCTCATGTCCCTCCAATTTCACACGTGCTACATTGCCTGCCCTGGTACTTCACTGGGAATCAGGGAGAAGGGACAATCAATTTTCTCCCACATAACTGAAATTGAAGCTGTTGTCCCTTGCATGAACCCAGGCAGAGCTGGGAAAGGACTGATGTCATCACCCCACAGAGGAAGGAAAACCTCTTCCTTAATGGGGAGCCCTTGTGTGCAGGCACTGCAGGCCAGCTCCTGCCAGCTCTCAGGCTAATAGCTTTCAAAATGACAGCAATCACCTCGTCCCTATTTGTGGTACCTGGCAGGTGTCCCATCAGCATCAGCAGGCTTGGGTTGGCTGGGAAGGGTCTGAATCATTTTGACTCTGCTGGGTTTGATAGATTTGGTAATTCGGTCATTTGTGTGACCAAACATAAAAAATAGTAGGCTTTAATATTTTAAACTGCTTTCTGTTTGTGTAAGGCCCTGGGACAGCAAGAGGGAGGCCTAAGGGAGATGAAGTGGAGTAATTTATCTTTTCTTCCCACATCTTGCCTCTGTGGGTGGGTGTTGGCACTCTATATTCAGAGTCCCACAAACCAATGGATGAGGACTTCAATTAGTACAGCTCAGGCCTGATTTACCTTGCACTGCTTGTGCCTAAGAGATGTTTTTAAGTCAAAATATACAGTTCCAGCTCAGAAGCTGGGATTATTCAGGCTTCAGGAGGTCTGCTCCTGTCTGACTTGAGCAAAATAAATGCAAGGCTTTGCATAATTCTCATTAATCATTTAAAGCACAGTTTGCATTGAAGTCTCCCACTTTTTTTTTTTTTTTCAGTTGGCAGGTCATGAAACACCAGCATGTTAGAAAAGAGAGAGCCTGAAGGAAAAACAAAGAACAGGAGGGTGTGACAGAGAAGGCACTGGCTGCCTTTCTCTTATCAGCTGAGGATACAGAGGGGTATATTGGTGTGGGTGAAACAGAGGACTCATCCCAAATTCAAGTCCATTAATGTCTGATGTCACTCCAAGGCAGAGTTAACTGAGCAGATCCAAGTTGTATCACCTTCCTAAAGGTCCCCCAAAGCTCATTCCTGATTGTGCCTCAGTGTTCCATTTTCTTTCTGACAGCTCCATAAAAAAGCCTGAAGCAGTGACTTGCTTCCCCTGACTCATCGTTTGTCAGCTCAAAGGATCAGGAGGATTTCTTTCCATACCTACTACTGTGAAACCAGTGCTAGCTAGATGCTTTATCTGAGAACACAAGGGGCTTTAGTAAGATGTAAAAGCCTACTGTTCCTTCAGGAAACCTACATCCAGCCCCCATGTGATCTGCCACATCACCTGGCCTCTTTTAACTGATGAGTTCCCTTGTGACTAATGCAAAATAAGCTTTTGCACTGTCTGCTTCATATTCTGGGGTTCCTCTGTTCATCTCCTAGAAAGTTTGAGTTCTTCCATTCAAAACTTCTATTCAAAAATGTATCCCCTGTATTCTGTTTCTCAGTGCTTCTCTCTCCACTGAAAGCCTTTCTGGGTAGCAAGAACAACTAGCAAGTCTGCTTGTACAAGAATATGTGCCTCATCATCTATGAAATGCTTAAACTCTGCTTCTAAACCCTCTTCATGAAAGTGTTTTTGAACGGGACCACGCACCCCACCACACCATATTCCCACAATCCAAGTCTCACTCCCAGAAGAATTGGTTATTTTTAGTCACTTGGGAAGATCCTGTCTCTGCAGGATGGGCAAACACAACTTCCAGTGGTTTGAAGCAAAGTGAGCACCAGGCAGGAATGCCACCAACGTACCACCTGCATGTCTCTGCACACTTCAGCAATTCTGCTGACAGCTGAGCCTCCCATGGCCTGGGAGAGATGCTGCTTCTAACCCCAGCTGTGATGGTGTCATTGCTCTTTGGTGCTGGAAGAGCAGTGTTAACCACTCTAGGGATGTTCTCAGATTACCCTGGCATTAGCATCCACAGTCAGGAAAGAAACTGGTTTTACCTTATCATTTCTGCACGTAATGGGGAGGATAACAATAGAGGAACGTTGCCAGGATCAGCTAATGACCACCTGGGAACTGGAAGGCTTGTGTAACTGCTAGAATGTCAGTATTGTTTTAGATAGATTATAAGCAAATTAATGGGACTCTCTAAGTTATCCTAACAACCTGAAGCACATGATCCATTTTCCCCATAGAACAACATTGCTGCAGAGAACAACTAAATTACCAAAAGCAACGGAGACTCATTTTTCAACTTGGACAGCTGTGCTTTTGTCTTTTTTTTTTTTAATGCTTGTGTGTAAACGCTAAAACTTATCACGCATCTGAGTATTGTGTAACAAACACTCGTGTGATCTTCATCACTTTCCTCATGAGAAGGTGAAGTTTGCATTTTTCTACTGTACTCACCCTGAATATCATCATTGAACGTACAGTATCTGTTACGGTATTTGTTGAGGAGGCGAAATGCGTTAGCATTGGCAAAGTCTTCAAACTGGATTAGGCAATTCATACCGTACCTGCAAGATAAGGGGTAATTAATAAGATATTTCCACAACCTAGAATAATATATATACCTTTTACTAGGATAATGCAACTAGTAGAGACTCCAGTGCTGAGATGAAAGTATAACAATAGAAATGTACCATGGTAACATCAAACAGGATCACATCCTTTCCAACTTGCCCACACTCAGAAATACAGACTCTCTAAATACAAGTGGGTCATATTCATAATTTGCCTACTCGAGGGACACAAGGGGCTTCTTAATATATCCATATATATGTTTGTATATGTGTACATATGTGCATTTTTGGACTATTGCTATAACAAATTTTCAGTGGTATCATAGAATCATAGAATCAGTTGAGTTGGAAGAGACCATTAAAGGCTGTCTAGTCCAACCCCCTGCAATGAACAGGGATACCTACAGTTCTATCAGTTGCTCACAGCACCATCCAACCTGACCTTGATGGGCATTCACCACCTCTCTGTGCAACCTGTGACCTCACCACCTTCACTGTAAAAGACTTCTTCCAATCTAAATCTCTCCTCTTCAAGTTTGAAATCATTTTCCCTTGTCCTACCACAACAGACTCTGCTAAAGAGTTTGTCTCCTTCTTTCTTATATGGCTCTCTTTTATTATATTTTGGTATTATTAACAATACTTTTGGTATATTTAGCAGTGATCATCTCAAAGTATAGGAGATGCTCTTTTGCCATGCTGCAATAGAGCAAATTTCACTGCAAAAACAGCCAAGTGCCCACTTAAACTGCAGATGATGAAAAGATGAGAAAACTTGCTTGTAAGATTACATGGAACTGAGCACTTTGTTGTGTGATTTCATAGTCATGTTTTTGTGCTTTGGAAACACACTTCCCTTCACTGCAAACCAGCATGCAATGAGAGCTAGTGACCCATATAGACCAAAGGCAGGAAATAATTGCAAACCAGCAATTATCCAGTGATGGCAGAGCAAACGTGTAGTCTCTAAAAACTGGGAAATACTCAGACTGCTCCTTACCTACATACTTCCAGCACTTGCATGACAATAGGTTGCATGAAAGCTTTGCTAATAAAATCCAACTGGGATTTGCTAATAAAATCCCTACTGGGGCCCTGAGCCTCTCTGGGACTGACAGCAGTGCAGAGGCAGCATCACCTTACATCCCTCCCATTCAAACTCAACACCTCACTCTAGTTAATTCTCCCACAAGGGAGATCATTTAGGTTAGATATTAGGGGGAAGTTTTTTCACACAGAGGGTGGTGATGCACTGTTCAGGTTGCCCAAGGAGGTTGTGGATGCCCCATCCCTGGAGGCATTCAAGGCCAGGCTGGATGTGGCTCTGGGCAGCCTGGTCTGGTGGTTGGTGACCCTGCACATAGCAGGGGGTTGAAACTGGATGATCATTGTGGTCCTTTTCAACCCAGGCCATTCTATGATTCTATGATTATGCCAGAGCAGGTGCTTTTCTTCCCAGTTAACGTGAAATACCGTGACCAAGGCTAACTTCAACTTATCTCTTGTGCAGTCTGGGGACCATCCTAGCACCTGGGTACCATCAGAGATGGGCTGCCATGCTCAGTATGAGGTCTCCCCTCTTCTGAAAGAAATACATCACAGAGGGGTTAAAAATTGCTTTTGAGATGGGTCTGTGATTATTGTGAGCTCTTACTTTTGGAGGTACATTTAGTCCACACTCTGCAATGTCAGAGTGCAGTGAAACTTTTCTGGGCAGATGGACAAACACGACTAGTCATACTGGCCAGCAAGACAGCAACTTCTTGTCTTGCTGGAATGAGCAAGAGAGAGCCCTGTGCAATGTCCCTGTTGTGGTTACACCCCTCCTCCCACCCTAGATACATAGATTTAAGCTTAGATTTTCCAGGGCACCAACAAAGTTTGTAAATCAGCAGGATCTAGACACTAAGATGGGGAAATTCCAACTTGCCATATGTTAAGATGGAAAAATCTTAGGCTTTGTGCCATTTTGCAAAGGATCTGCTCAACAGCTCCAATTGGTTTTATGACTCTGAACAGGACAAATTCTTTCCTGCATCCTATGACAGGCTGTGTTACAGCTCAAAATCATAGTCATGGAATCACTGAGGTTTGGAAAATCTCAAGTCCTCTAGTCCAACTGTCAGCCCATCCCACCATGCCCATTAACAGTGCCACATCTCCATGGTTCTTGAACACCCCCAGGGATGGTGACCACTCCCTGGGCAGCCTGTGCCAATGCTTCACCACTCTGAGAAGAGATTTTTCCTACTATCCAACCTGAACCTTCCCTGGTGCAACTTAAGGCCATCCCCTCTTGTCCTACTGCCGTTACCTGGAAGGAGAAACATCAAATGGTGCCTATTGAAAATTCTCATAAGATACTCTTTAATTGCCCACAGTCTCTTGCTAACTACCAGTTACACTGAGAACATCTGAGGAACAGACTGCTTATGCACTTTAAGCCTCCTCGCTGCAGATTCAGGAAGCTATCAAGGAGTCATCCAGTAGCAAAATTTCTTCTGAAATACTAAGCAACACTCTGAAGAGCAATGCGTGAAGATTCCCAAGTCTCTTTCTCTCCATAAAGTCTTGGAACTCAAAATGGACGCTTTGAATATCCAAGGATTTTGTGCAAAGAAACAGTACAAAAAGGCCCTCAAAAAATCAGTTTTCTAGTGGATGGTAACAGTGAAGAGGCACACCATTTAGAACATCTGCAGCCATCTCACAGCAAAGCATTAGCAAATCTTTAAGCAACTTCTGTTGCTATAGAAACTACTTCTCTAATGTCTTATTACATTGAGGAAATATTAAAAATTGGACTTGGTGAATAAAATCAGTGACCTCAGCCAGCATGAATGTGCATGTGAGCAGCTTTCCAAGGAGCCCAAGGGGAGGTGGGTGCGTTGCTTTGACTAGAATCATTTTTATAAGAGTATTAATCTCAATATTACTTTCAGTTTTGAGTAGAGAATGCACTCCTTACTTCCTATACCTGCTCTGCAGCAGCATGAGGCAATACTCTGAAATCTATTTTGTCTTTCATCGTTTTGATCAAGCAGAACACCAGGAAAGCATGGTGACCCATAAACATTTCTCTTCTTGCCTCTCAGTATGATGGGACTTGTGATGGAAAGGTATTTTTTGAAGATTATTTTCTTTTTCTCTGCCACTGAACTTCTTAAAGTGCAAACCACATTTCTGAGGCTTGTTTTGTAAAGTGAGAACTCAAGTTTTCATTGATAAAAATTACAAGTTGGTCATGGCAAGACCCCAAGACTTGATACTTTATATGAAATGATCCCAGTTAAATCATGGATGAAAACCTTGGGATCATGTTCAAATTCAGGTCCTCAGGGACTACTCATCTTCCTTGGGTTCTGAGAGGATTTTAAAGAAATTGTGCTGCTCTGGGTCACTGAAGTTAAACATGAAGTTACTGAGTTTTGTCTTCAAAACCAACTGGTTCATTCTTACTGCTCTTTCCTAACAGCACTTGGGTGGCTGTGTGCAATACTCCTTTCTAGGATGACCTGTTCAGCCTAAAGACAAATTTAGCAAGGAGCATGAACAAAACAACTGCTGGACCATTTGCAATAATATTCTCTCAAGTAGCAACACGGTGAGTCAGTTCTATTGTCTGCTCTTCATGGCACAGCAACTCAAGACTTGTGTAACCTGCCTCATCCCACAGGAATTTAGAGCACTCTACCAGTAGTATCTGAGTAGCATCCAAAAGTAAATCACAGCCAATTTAGGAATGAGGGACAGAAGTGCTTTAATAGGCACTGATGCTATAAAAACATCCAGCTTGGGAGATAACGTGGAGAATAATTGTTACTATGAAGGGAAAGGGTGGTCAGAGAGCTGCTGCTTGTACAGGAATTCAGCCAAGAAAAAGCAGTACAGAGTGGGATTTTCTTCATTACCTTTACATAGCTAAAAGCTGGCTGAGTAATGCTCAGTTAGATAACGTCTCAAAGGAGAGAAAGAGGCACATCCAGTAGCAAGTTGTAGAAGCTGATAACAATTCTGGAATGCTTCTTTTTCCACAGTCTGTGTGAATACATTCTAAAATGACCACCTTACATTTAGATGTCTAACTTTATTAAACACCTACATTAGGAGATATAACCCTCACCACGTTATCTAATCACCACTGCTGGCTTGAAAGACCATAAAACTTAGGTCATTGCCTTATCACTCTTTCTACTGCAAAGCTTTGGTTTCCTTCACAGCCTGTCATTACTTTCTTTATCTCTAAAGAAATTGCCCTGCTGTATCTTATGTGTATGGATATCCACATGGTGCCCTGTCAGGGTACATGGAAGCACTTTGGGGTGGAATGAAGTACATCAGCCAGTATGTGACCTGCTGTTACATTTTTAAAATAGAAACTGGTGAACCTTTGTCAAATTATTGTGTTTCACTTGAAAAATTGTCATTTCCATTAAGAAAACCAAATTAATAATTTCTACATGGAGGAATCATTTTTAGAGAGGTATGCTTCTGTTTAACCAGCGAAGAAGTTCTGCTGTTTAACTTGTGTGTTCTGATCTGAAGGCAGCCCCACTTTGGACACATCTGTGCACTTATAACGTGCTCACTGTCCATGTGCACAGGATGCTTCTCCATAGAAAAAGTGATTGCAAAGTGAATGTTTGAACAGGGATTTCTGAAGATCATTTTCCACATGTAAGGATTCTTAAATTTGTAGCCATAGCTGGGAGTGGTTCTGCAGAAAGATCTTGCAAACTTCTCTATCAGGAAGAGGCTCCTGAGGTCAAACTGTTCAGTTTGTTGCCAGCTCTCATAGGTTCTCCCACACTTCTACCAACACCAGTGACTCATCTCCTAACTTCCAGTTCAGAGCCTGGAGAGTCTGAAGCCAAAAGCAGCAGGTCACATCAGGGCTGAATGCTTTCCAGCTAAGGTTGGCTCCCTCCAAGTCCTGACTCCCAGTGACTCATCCCCTCTACAGCATCACTTTGTCTTGGCATCCTGGACATTAG